ACGATAAAGATGATGAAGATTATCGTGATTGCAGATGCTGCAGAAATGTTATTATTTGGAAGAAATATAAATATTGTCAACAATGTGAAATAACTCTTAGAAGACTATGCCCTCATAATATCTTTTACTTGTCCTATAATACCTCCTCCTGAATTCTATTTCAGTTCCCTTTATTATTAAAGCTGTCAAAAGAAGCAAAAAGAAGACAAAAGAAAAAAGATTTTTATTACTACAAAAGATTACTTATAACTTAAAAAATATGATTGAAGATATTAATAAAAAATACACAGTTGTAGTAGTTCTCAGTTTATGATTTCCTGTAGATCATAAGGAGGGTTGTAAAGATCTTTAAACCACACATACAACCCAGCATACATGAATGAATGGACTTGATCAATCATTTTGCTGTAAAGGCTTCGCAGAGATGATATAAGAACGCGATTCATCGTCTTGCGCTGTCTCTCCATCATCTTTACAATCTCTTGTAAAGATTCTAGTACATCATCAGCTCCAACTAGATGATCAGCATCGTCGTCGTCATTTACAGTCATTTCCAACACCTCATCTTTGTTCATGTGTAGATTCAAACGAGTTTGCAATTTGATGTCAAACTTGCTAAACAACGAAGAGTTGCCTTTCTTTTTTCCTTTGTCGATTCTACCTTGAAGCCATTGGATGTACTTCTCTAAACGCCCAGGATTCAGATGGCTTTCCTTGTAGTCGCGGTCGATAGCATCCATCATGCAGAGATACACAGTAAAGAGCCCAAAGAAATCATTGACTTTGCGGTAAGTCTCAAACCTCTCTCTTTCTGAGTAAGATTCAGGATTAGTTTGATGTCGAAGGACATCAAGAATGTCGTTTGCGTTCTCCTCGATCAAATCCATGGAGTCCGTTAACGCGCCATTATCCGTAGAATAGTACTGGTACAAAGGACCACGTTCTTTTGGATCTCGACAAGAAGGTTCTTTCTTGGGAGACCATGGATCATCATCTTGAACACTTGGCTTTTCATTTTCAATGAAATAATGAGGAGGATACTGATCCATGACCGTTCGCCGCCGCGTCCAGGACTGAATAGCGTCGCTCCTCAACAGTTAACCCAGATCCCTTCTTACCCCGCGCCCGCAGTGATCCCTAGTTAACCTTATTTGGTCCTTGACAACCGTCCATCATTATGATGTCATGGTTGCTATGGACGCCATCTTGAATAAATTAATKTGGTCCTTTTTTGTTTCACTTATTACTACTCAAAGGCATGCAGTTCATCTATACTGATAAATCACAAAGTGATTTGAAATCAAACTATATTAAGAGAAAACATTTGTGAAAGTAACTCCTTGTTGATTTACTTTTCATGTAATATTTAGCAGCTTTTGAAGGAACTAGATATACAATAATTTTTGACAAATCTTGAAAAGCGTAGAATCAAATCGTTCACTCTGATAGTCTTCCGCGTGAAACATAGTAAGAATATTGTAGTAATTTAAAGGTCAAGTATACTACAGTATCAAAATCAGACAGCTCGGCGCCGTGTGGCGAGCGATCTTCGCAAACAGGAGGGGCCCGCTCTATAACCATACATGATCGCTTCAATGATCTTCATCTAGGAATACTCATCTGTGAATAGCATTGTTTTCTTTAACCAGAAGAGACAGAATCCCTCATCAAATTAGAAAATATAGACTATGCAACTCAGAATCAGACAGCCACGTAGTCAGCTACGAAGTATCGGTTTATATCTCGCCAAGGAAAATGAACTATTTGGCTCGATACACCAACCTTTATGACCTAAACCAATRTCCTAATACATGCTCTTACACAGATGAATGTTTTGGAATAACAAAAGGCCTCGAATATCAAAGAATTACTATAAAAAACTACAGTAAATCCCGTGCAGTTATTGCTGTTCTATGATACAATTGTTTAGAGTACTGGTTCGTATGTAGAAGAGCTGTCGATCGTATAACTTGAGATCTCTTCGCCTTTAACAGAAAACTTTCCGCTATCCCAAATACTCAGATGAGTAATAAGCGGCAGAGTCTGACCTCAACAGTCGATAATTCCGAGTTTTGAAGAATATTTGTTCAATTCAAAGTGCGTGCTGTATGACACATCCACGGGCTTCATTTATCTACGAAGTATTGATTTATATCTCGTTAGTTTAAAAGATACAGTAAATCCCGAGCAGTTTTGCTGTTCTATGATACGCTTGTTTACAGCCGAGTTCGTAATGTGATATTTCGTTTAGAGATCGGAGTGCGATCGGGGACAAAGGTACACCCGAGTTCGCAATGTGATATGCATTCGGGACGTAAAGGGTTTTGCTGTTCTATGATACGCTTGTTTACAGCCGAGTTCGTAATGTGATATTTCGTTTAGAGATCGGAGTGCGATCGGGGACAAAGGTACACCCGAGTTCGTTATGTGATATGCATTCGGGACGCAAAGGCCAGCCCGAAGACAAAGGTCTCACATAGGAAAAAAAATAACAAAAGTAAACTCGCTGCATTTTCTGACTCGTGACCCGGCCTAGGGACTGGTCACGAGTAATGACATTTGTAGATTTGGACAAACTTATTATAATCCGGGTAGCCCAAGCTCTTTACGTGATATAAGAGAATGTATATGTGAGTCTATGTAAACAGTCGATTTATAGCATAAAGATACATTAAATTACGCTATTACTTGCTGTGTGGATTATTATAGTTACCGGTAATCTCTGGAGTAATTTTCAGAACTTTTATGAATTTTTTCCCCTCTTACTATTATCTGTGACAGTGTAGGAATCGAAGCCCTCCATATCGACTTCGAACAGCTCTAAATTTAGTCGATTTTTTCGTTTAAATTCGAATCCTAGTGCAATGTGCCTTTGCACAGCTGTCAACTAATAACTTAACACTGCAGAAATACTGGTTTCATTGAGCCTGTTGATTTTCCTAAGCCATGAGCTCTCCTGAGGCAAGTAAAATCCGTGCCAAAACCGCCATTTTGCATGCTTCAGTGGAGTTGAGTTTATGAGCATTTTGTACTCTAAATTTAACTAGACGCCCCTGGGGCGTGAAGTCGGACTAGCTATTTTTGAAAATTGATAGACACGAGTGAAAAGATTATGATGTTATATTTCGTCTAATCATATGATATTAAGAATGTAAATGAAACTTGAGAAAGACAGCAGGATATTACATAAAAGATAAAAATTAGATTAAAATATATATTTCTTAATTTTTCTCCAAAATAGCCGAACTCACGGTCTAATAGGAGCGTCTAGTTCAAAATATCCAAACTCTCTTGAGACTAAAATAAACTTGACCTAAAAGGTCATGTAATTAATACCAGCAATGAACGTTTAAAGTAGTCCTTGCTTTCACTGATAAAATCAAACGTTGGTATGTAGATTATGTGATGCTAAGTGAACGTTGACCTCTCAGGCCCAAAAGTAAATGATACCATAAAATCATAAACTCGCCTTTTTGTTATTGATAAAAAATGTTTCTTCTTGTTCTAATTTGAAATGTTTGCCCACACAGGACTGYCTAACGCTAGAAAGGCCATTGATTTAGTTTCGTAAGCATATACTACTCGAAGCACCAAGCGATCTGCACATGCGCGTACTTATTATACCTAGACTGATGCATTCCGATGAGATCACAGATACCACATTTGTAAACGAATAGTTTTTTTGTCATATAAAAGCTGAAGTAGCATATGATATTTACTAACGATATTCGTACATCAATACGTTTGAGCTTCCGGTCATGTAATAACACAGCCAACCCAATAGTTAATYATTAAATTCTTAACTTCCGGTGGTCCAAACGCGACATGATACACAGATAGATTGGCTAAAAGGTAATTTTAAAGTCGGACCTCGCCTTCAGCTAGTCCTACTAACGAAGTGGCCGGAGCCTTGACGCAAATGCAAAAGATCCAACGTCCCGGGAGGTCATGTCTACGAAATTACTTCAGTCTGGCCTACAGCATTTTGCGAAATCAGTATTTTGCGAAACGAAACGAAATATTCCGTTTCGCAAAGTGCACATCTTTTTTTTTTACTCCCATATATTTGCTATACGGGGACGTGCCGCTGGCCAGGGTATGGTTTTTGGCCTTGCTGTCTTAAACAGGGTATATATTTCACCAGAAATTGTCTTAAAAAGGCTCTACAATTTAGATAAAATACCGATATAATTTTTTTGTGTGTCTTGGACAGGGTAATATTTTCATAAAAAACCGTAGAAATAGTAGAAATACCGTTTCACTGTCCCAGAATTAACGTGTTATCAAAAACTTCTTATTGTCTTTGGTGGAATGTCAGTATAATTGCAGTTTTGATGGTTGCGGCGTAGATAGCTATTCCTTATTTTTCCGATTTGTCTTGAAAAGGGTATGGATTTTTACTTTTAAGTGTCTTAAACAGGGTCAGGTATTTAGACCGCTGGCGGCACGTACCTATCCAAAACGGGGTCGTGTATTATATTTTAGCATTTTCTATGGCATTGTAGGCAGTTTATCAAAATACATTATGAATCGTTAAAATGATGTAAATGACGTCATCATGACGTCAAATTTAGTTCCCACGGGTCAAGACTGGGTGTGGTGGTTTGTTGTACATGGGTGATCATTTTGTAATAATTTCATGGACACAGACCTATTGGTTCGGAAAATATATAGAATGGTGGCCGAATGAGCCTCCAAAAAATCACAGATTGCAAAAAAAGGCAAGTCTGAATAGGGTTAAGCATGAAACTGCAATAAAAAGGAGCGCATGTCTTGTCATGTGAACACAAACAATGCATCTGCGGGCTATTCACACTGGGGGTCGGTCTTTTGAGCCCCCATCGAGTAAATTACAATAATTTTGGAACCGAGATAGCTATAGCGCTGAAATGTTTGGTAACAAGTGTGACTGAATATCTCCGAAAGATCAAGGTAATAACGAAAAGGGACAAAATGTTGACAAAGAATCATCGCGCGATTAGTTCAATCAATCAATTACAGGTTATTACACACAGTTTAATTGACCTTTTACAATGTAACAACTTCGTACACCCAATCTAGAGGTTATGTAGGAGTAACATCTTCAAATCATATTTACTGCAATGAAAAGCACGGTAGGTGTAGGATAACCCAGTACACCACCTTTTTGTAGCTGAACMGTGCCATCTTGCTGAACAGAGATGTACAAATCAGTGCGTTTTGGATCTCCAACTCCAATGCACCGATACTGCATGTAACTAAAAGACTCCACGCACTCAAATTTATATTCATCACCCATCGATGGTTTAATGAACGATTTGTCGACTTCCTGAAATAAATGGAAAACATTAAGTTCTGCCCGAGGAATGAAAGGGACGATAGGGGTAGAGATCGGTTCATGTAGAACCCTAATAGGCATAAGCATACAAGTCACTTTCAGGAGAAATATATTGATCAGTCCCTGTATCATCCTATAGTCAATAGTTTCTATTGGTTTAATGAATTGCTCAATTGCTCTCAATTACAAAAGAATCATTTCAACCAAAATCACCATGATCTATTTCTTTGAAATTTTATTGATGCAGTGCTGCTGTCCCCAGCAAATACCACTTACAAAATGTTAGTCTTCKACATTCAAATATTAATAATTATTATTTATCTATGAATTATATCARATACAAAACTCGTCCAAAAGAGGGAGGGGGTTGTCTAGTCAACGAGTTAAGCCTCCACTCCACCCCACCCCCTCCCCCCTGTCCAGCACACATGCACACATGCATCCATGTACAGTAGTTACAGTTGTTTTGTTTTTGAATACCTCAACAATAACATCCCGATTTTCTCCTTTCATTACATAGACCTTGTTGGAGTTGCTGCTGGCCAGAGTAAAAGCAAACTCAGTTGTCGTAGATGTACTAGAAGTGACATTATGCCCTGTAAATTGAACTAAAAATAGAAACTGAATTAGGTAGTAGAACTCGTATCTATTTATTTGTAAATTAGCTACAACTTTAACAGCCAACAAACTAAGAGAAATATTTGCTCAAAAACTGACAAGTTAATAATATAGGAACAAGCTGCTTAGTGCTGTAATTAAAGAAGTTGCTCCAGTTTCCAGAGTTGCTTTACAGTTGCTCAAACTTTACCGGCAAAACTTATGTGTCAAAAGTCCAAAAACGTAATCATCACGACCGTCGACATCATGAATGACAAGATATTTTCCCCTAACATGCGCATGGACCACCCTCCCCCTGCATCGAGAACCCTCACTTACAGCTGAATATACCGTTAAGTTATAGCAAATTACTAAGTGAATAATTGACACAACGTTCGAGACACCGATACATGCAAAATTTGGCGGAAAAAAAGACAAGAAGTTGAATTTTAATGATAATTTCATGACTTACTGAGTGCTGGCTGATCGCTTTTCTTCCCATCACACTTAACATTGGTRCCATCTCGTTTCATAAGACCCTCGTTTGTTTGGCTGAACATTGACCACATATAGTAAGCAACACCATCTTCGATTGGATGGGGAATGACTGGACCACCTATCGACTGCAAAACATAATGAACGATCTCAGTTATAAAAATCGGATCAGTGCATTCTCTGATTAGTAGGAGTGGCCGGGGATTGGGTCAGGCGGTGTCTATCAATCGTTTTCAATAAAGCTCAGTCTCGTTGTCAGTTCTTAGTCAGCCTATCATTCAGGCCGAACAGAGGATCGCGGTTTCGAATCTCGTCTAGAGCACTTTTTTTTCTTTGCTTCTGTTTTTACTGAAATACACTTATTCTAGTCAAGTTCATTTTTTCCGGTAGATATTTTTAAATTCTAATATATACTTTGTTTATGTGTACTTCCTGTAGATTTGTTTTTTATTACATGGGCTTCCTGTGGAAGACCATGTCTTAAAATGCTGCTGGTTTTTCGTGTTATGATTTTCCGGCTTCAAAGTGGTAGCGCCCGCGATTTCGACAGTCTGCAGTCTTCGTTTCAAAAGAGATCGGCCTCGTGGTAAAAACTACGACGACCTCGAAGATTAAAAGGAGTTGACAATGAAGGAAATTAAAACTAGAATCCCACACTAAAAGATGCTCAGCGTGGTTATCGGAACGGGCCGGTCTACGATCTTAGCAAAGTTATAGTTCACACAAAACCTCAAATCATACAAATCATTCGAAGGCCTTCGAATATTAGTACCCACTTGTGACACACAATGCAAACTGACTGTATGAATCCTGAGATGATCAAGTCAAATGCATCTGAAGTCAACACTGAAACTCAAAACTTGTCAAAGAGATCAATTAATCGTTGTTGGGAAGAAAGCCGCCGCCATATTGGAATTTAACATACCTCGCAATAGACTCCAAAGAAATTGTTCATTTTCTTATCAGTATTTTAAAACCTGTTAAAACATTCCATGCAGTGAGTATTTGGTTTCTTATATTTATACTTATGATACACAGTACTTATAAAGACCCATTCGGAAAGGTTTTTGTCATGTTTATTGTTCAAGTTTCCAACTACTCAAAGCCTGACTGAAAGCTTAGCATCTTTCCCCATTTTTGCAGGTGCATGGGTTTTCAATGACAAAGAAAAATGTTGTACAAATGTTGTACAGTGTACAATGTTGACCCTAGTGTTCAGGCACCATACAGACAAAGAAACATGATATTTAGGGATATTTTATGCTGGTCAAAATGTGTTGCAAAAAGTCTGTGCATTCACTATGTGAAAGAAATGAAAGGAATACACAAGTCTAATGATTTAAAACAAATCCTGCACATTGGAAATGAGCTCTACAACAATTTATCACAATAAGCACAACATTTGTTCTTAATGTTAACAGAATTGCTTACAGTACTAGATCAAAATTATCAACTAGACTATTGTCTAAGCTACACTGGTACTTTATACATGGTAAAAATTATTAGTAGTATAGATGGATATAAATTTTGTATGGGACTTTTGAGAGCTTTTGTGATATTTATATCACAATAAATAAAGATCATTTATCTTTGTTGATTGCATTGGGGTTGATATTATTCAATGTATTTAAACTGCTCATATAAGGTATTTGACTCTCATGCTAGAGAAATATAGAAAARGTCATCCACAARGGAATTTGTGCTATTTCATGTATCGTCTAAAAACAATTTGGTGCAGTCCTTTTAAAAGTTTAAATGGATTTACAGAAACATTGAATTAAGGCATAAAAATTGCTACTGCTCTTATAGCCATAGCGAACAATCAAACAGCTGATAAAAACTATAAAAATATAAAAATATAGCAGAATCACAAAACATTGTTGAGAGTTGTTTTGCAAAATCCCTTTATTCTATTTATTTGATCATTACAACCTGCAATATTTATAGGACAACAAATACATTTACATTGCAATTGAAAGAAGTGACTTGCAATGCAACTTCTCTAAATCTGAACTGTTCCTGAAACACAGATTTTTAATACTCAAATAAAAAATAACCTTGCTAGAAAACAAACCTTCATTAATGGTTGTATGGAAAAGTAATAAATAAAAAATAAAAATATTGATGAAAATAGATAGGCTTCAGATTTTATTTTTTCCATGAAAATGCATCTCAATTGGAAATTGCTTCAGGAAGCCCATGTAAGCGCTCTCTGAGCGTCTAGTTATTTATTATTTTACATGCAAGATCATACTTGAATAGCGGCGTTGAACTGACGATCGTGGGTTCAATCCTCGAACTCGAGCATCTTATTCCTTCCTTCCTTTTTTTAACTTTAAAATATACTTGTTCTTTTTTACCGTGTCCAGGCCGAACACCTGCGGCATGCATACTCGTTCATTAGCAGAAATCAGGGAACTGATTTCTGCTAGAATCTTTTTTCTCTTTCTAAAATGAAAAGCGATCTTTCATCTTATAAATTCTCTGAGTATAATGCGAATGCAATCAGAATGCTAAGTTTTTGCTGCAATTATAAAAATATAAAAAAAAAATGACGCAAAAAGATTATACGCAGAATCTATCGAGGCGCTGGTGAAAATATATATTTCACAGTAAAATTCTCTACACTTAACGTAACCTGGACACGAAAAAGTGGTTCTTGTTTATTTATTTATTTTATCTTATCTTATTTTTTATTACTGAAAGTCAACTGACACAGGTCTAATGATTGCATTCATTCTTTAGATCCTTATCAGTTTCCCAACGGAAAATCGAAGGCCCTGGCTGGAGACGAGTGAGGCTTTGTTTTGATTGGTTCAAAAATTCCCATCCGCCACTAGTAGTATGCATATATCGTGGGACCCAGCAATTCGATATTAGGAAATTCAATTCAAATATTAATGTTTTGAACTGACCCAAAAAATCAAGGAATTATAGGTTGAGGTTAAGGCTATAGATAAGTCGTGTAATCTTGAAACCAGTGGTCATCTGGTGAAAGATGCTCAAAGGAATATAATTTTCATGATGTCATGTTAACGAACTTACTGTAAGCCGATAAGACGCCACCAAGCAATCGTTTGGTTGGAATTCGTAGTCGTTCTTGATAGGGACCATTGTTTCACCATGAACCAACTGAAATGTGAAGTCTGAGAACTTACTTTGTCCAGGTATGAGGTCAGTAAATAACTTCATAAAGATGTCCTCGATGTCCAAAAGTTTTGAACCATTGGGTATCATCAGGGAATGATAATGGCCGTCTTTCTGGTATTTAATGTAAACCACAATGCTTGACTGGCCCATACCTGCCAATATTTAAAACAGTTTGCAATTTCATTGATTGTGCCTTCTAGTAATTCTAGAAATCCTTTAAGGGCAATGTCCCGGGGTTACTTTTGAATCTCCTCGTGCATCCGGGCTCTTGCAAGCTGTCCATCCACGGGCGTTAGGAAACTTACAGTTTCAGGTTGATAGGGGCGTGCCAGGTCAACCCTGTGACCCTTTTTGGTACACTAATCCAGACTTAAACATCTAGCTAACCCCCAAATGAATAAAGAAAGCCTTTGGCTTTTGTCCTAATCCATACTCTTACACAAATGAATGTTTTGGAATAACAAAAAGGCACGAATCTCAAAGAATTAGCTCCATTTCGGCGACTATAGTTACCCACACGGCTTAGGGACGGTCCATTTAAATCGTGCACAACATATGGACCTAAAAAAATATCTTGCACCACCCTAAGCCCAAAAAAAATGTTACATACAAGAAGAAAAAAAATCCTACACACCACCAAGAGAAAAAATATATATACTACCCAAAAGCCACGAAGAAAAAAAA